GTCTTTATTTTACAGTTAAAATATACTGTATGTCTATCATATAAAGACTAATGTTACAACTAATCATGGATCCCTTTATTTATTTTTTTTCTGTTTTTTAATTACTCTGTATTTTAACTACTCTGTATTTTAATTACTCTGTATTTTAACTACTCTGTATTTTAACTACTCTGTATTTTAACTACTCTGTATTTTAACTACTCTGTAGTTTAATTACTCTGTAGTTTAATTACTCTGTAGTTTAATTACTCTGTAGTTTAATTACTCTGTAAAGGCACAAGATGGCTGCCACTTTCACACGACCAGAGCCAGGCAGGAGGACCAGTTTCCTGCTCGTGGTTCGACCTGTTTTTAAGCCAAAACCATGAAATCCTCCAATCAAACAGGGTTCTGGACTAATCCACGCAGCCAGGAGACGGACATTAAGCCCAGCTCTCAATCAGCGCACAGCTAACGAACAGGGATGTGATTTAAACATCGTTAACAGAACGGTCACAGGAAGTGAGACGAGGTGGGAGTCATGTGACGTGACATCATCTGACTCATTCTGTCCGAGGATCACAACTAAAAACCAACGTGGCCACAAGCGAGACAACACGCAGGTTCCAACAAGTTCCTCGTGTCGTAGGTTTGTGGGACGGAGAGTGTGTCACAGCTTACAAAACAAACTGGGAGATTTAAACTGAAGCAGCTGAAAAGGAACCACTTTAATAAATAACTTATGTTGTTAAAATGAAACTGAAACCAGGTAAAAACTCAGAACCACCATGAAAGTCTTGTGATGTGTGAAGTGTTGCAGCTGCTGCCTCTGAAAGGGGCCGTCCCCTGATCTGAGAGAAAATCAGTTTCAGCTCCTCTCCTCCCAACATGAACCTGACGTTAACAGACGTGACTACTGATGATGGTATGTGCAACTACAAGTCTGACAGCTGCTCTCCTACACATGCTTTCAGTAGAAAGACAAATCAAATATGCAGTCGGGTCTCTACGATACTCAACAACACACGTCCAGAAGAGCTCGTTACAAACGTATCTTTACAACCTCACTGGGATGATTTCCCAATAATCCACTCTAACGTCTCTGTGAAGTGATTTTATGTTGAAATAAGATTCAAGAAAAAGGAGAGCCGCCTGTCAGAAACAACCAAAACCACCCTGACCAAATGTTGGTTTTTATCATTTAACTATTTAAAGTACATTTAAGCTACTTTATTGTCCAATAACTTTTATCTGCCTTTTTTTTTTACTTTCCTCACTTATTTACAAACTGTTTTGTATCTATAACAGAGATCAGTAATGTGGGTAAAGTTTAATTATTCTCTGAAAACCAACACAAAAATGACTAAAAAGATGCTGCTCTAAGTTTAAAAACAAATATAATTACAAGAATGCAACTAATAAAAACTTCTCAGCTGTGCCTTATTATTTAAAACTTGTGTACAAATAATACACCAAAACAAGTTTTTAACTGCAAAAGTCCCTTCATTTGTTCTTTTAACCTCACAGGTTTGAAAAATGTCAGACTTGTTAAAATAAACTAAACGTTTCCAGACAAACTCCTAAAAACATTGAACCTGTGTCCTCCATGTAAAACACATCAGACCAGTGAAAASCAAACATGTGACAGGTGTAGGGTTACCTGACAGCAGTCATAAACACAGGCCTGTCAGCTCATCACATTACTTTATTCTATTCATACCTGAATAAAACAGATTACAGAAGAGCTGCAGGTGACGTTTCTGCAGGACAACATTTAACAGAGACGAGCACAAATAAAACACATGGAACAAAAACACAATCTGACAAACATTTGTCACATTTTGCCTTTGAACAAATATAAAAGCAGAACTACAACTATGATGTGTTTTATTGCTAAATATTTCTAATGTTTTTTTGATCGTCATTGTTTGATGTCAGACAGTAAAATGTGAAAATGACTCATTTTCAACATCCTTCCTTTCTTTGTAGTGATTTCTGTTTGGTTAAATGTGAATGAAGTTAGTTTTTTAACCCACAATAGAGAAATTCTAACAGTTTAACACAAACGAAGCAGCTGCAGCAGCTTTAACTGTTTAAGAAAATAAATGCAACACCACGATTAAAACAACAAGCCTGAGGTGACCTCATGTAACTGTGAGTTTAACAGSTATAAAAACATAAAAGAGGTTAACAAAGTGACTTCTCACTGATTTACAGTCAGATTTTACAGCAGTTAATGTAGATCATTGATTACAGACTGATTTCACTTCAGTGTTAGGTTATAAATATTAACACTGCCCCACAAATATGTGTTATGATGGTGTGTGTGTGTGTGTGTGTGTGTGTGTGTGTGTGTGTGTGTGTGTGTGTGTGTGTGTGTGTGTGTGAAGAGATTAAATTAAAGATATTCACTGCAAAGTATAAAATATAACAAAGCTTATACTCAAACGAGTTTACTCCAGCAGTTTTCCACATATATCAGCACGCAGTTCTGACATGCAGGTACGCATTTACTGTAAACAAAACATGGAAGCTTCTGATTGGCCCGTGTTAGGCTGGTCATGTAGTCAAGCAAACATGGCTGAACTGGACGAGTGTAGCTTCTTGGAGAACCCTTTCGTTTGTGAATTTAAGAGTAAAAATGCAGAAATGAAAAGAGAAACGCGACAACCACCAAGAGTTAAATCTTGTGGACCAAGCAGGTCGACGGAGCGCCACAAAAACCAAGCTCAGAATTATTCAGACACTTTTAGTTTTAGTTCAAAGTCTTCAAATCATTTCAACTCGTCTAACGTTCAAAATGTTTCAATCCTACATTTAAATTGTCCAGATGCACCCAAAATATCCCTTTCAAAAACACATAAATATGAAGCTTTAGCCGAGAACACAAGTGTCTTATTAAAACCATGACAGCTGTCAACATGTGATTTATTCTTATGTGAGGTTTTGAATATTAAATATGATGAAAATAACTAACGATGGGTAAAAATAGTGATTCATGAARGCATTGCAATATTTTTTAACTCAACATTGATTCAGAAAATCCTGATTTAATTAGATTCCCAGGCTTGTTTTCATGTTTGCACTCCATTTAGGACAAGTATTATAGTGATATTTTTTTCATGTTCAGATATTTAATTTCTCAAAAATACTAATGCAGAAAATTTCTGTTTATATGAACAAGAAAATAAATACCTACAAATTATCCAGAGAGACTCTACATTTGTTCACTTCTTGTTATTAAACTGATACTGAAACATTTAAAGCCAGATCAAACTGGAATTAAATCAAATTAGAACTGAGATTATTAACAATAAAGCCCTAATTTCCAATACTCTACCGTATAATTTGTAATACATGAGCACAATCTGCCAGGTCAAAAGCAAAAAGGTTGAGTTCTCCTGAAAATTAACTGTGACTAAAGATGAGACGAGTCGACAGAAATAAACATTTTGAGGACAAAGTCGAGCGGCGGAGCACGTTGAAGTAAAGTTAGGATTATTTACAGTCAAACTGTGCAAAAATATTCTGAAATCTTACAGGGGACAGACTACCATAACTGTTACATTTATTCATAAACAAAGACAATAAATATTTGCTGCTTCCTAACATTTAAAAAAAAACTGAAAAG